TTTATTTCAATCAGGAGTTCCTGTTAAATATTGGGGAGATGCTATTTTGACTTCTGTTTTTTTAATAAATAGAATGCCTACATCTGTTTTAAATGGCTTATCTCCTTATGAACTTGTTTTCAAAAAGGTTCCTGTTTTTGATCATTTTAGGGTCTTTGGCTGTTTATGTTTTGCTGCTAAACAAAATGTTACTGATAAGTTGTCTGAACGTGCTGAAAAATGTGTTTTATTAGGATATTGTTCTGATAAGAAAGCTTATAAGCTACTTAGTCTGGATACTAATTCTTCTTTTGATTCCAGGGATGTGAAATTCTATGAGTCTGTATTTCCGTACAAATTAAAATCAACTAATGTTGATAGTGTTTCAAATAATTCTGGCCCTAGTGATCCCTTTTCCTATGATGTTTTTGACACAAATGAATATATAAATGATTCCATTGATCTTGATGAGCTGAGAGTAGAGTCCCAGTTGGATGGTACTGATGCAACCATTAGTTTGGATGACTTTAGTCCTAGTGAATCTGTCAACCATGGTGGCGAGGCAATTGTGCCTCCTACTGGTTCTTCTATTCCTTCATCTTCAAATGTGTCTGAGGAAATTAGTCAGTCTGTTTTAATTCCTTCAGTAGAACAACCTATAGGTGCTTCTAGGACTAGACGTGAGTCACATGTGCCTGTTAAGTTTGTTGATTATGTTGTTGAAGGGAAATATAAATATGGTATTGAGAGATCTGTTAATTGCTCCTATCTTGATAATGAAACTAAGTGCTTTATTTCTAATCTTAATAAGTCTGTTGAACCCAAAGATTATAAAGAAGCTTTGTCTGATCCAAATTAGGTTAGGGCAATGAATGAAGAGATGGAAGCTCTTCATCGTAATCACACTTGGGAAATAACAAAATTGCCTAAAAATAGAAAGCCCATAGGATGTAAGTGGGTGTTTAAAATAAAATATAAGTCAAATGGAAAAAAATTTGTTGTAAATTCAGGTGATACTGATGAAAGGGATAAGTTACTGGAAAATAAAACTGAATTTCAGAAACTGATAGGTAAACTTATTTACCTTACAATTACCAGACCTGATATTTCTTATGCAGTTCAAGTTCTTTCTTTGATTTAAACACAGACCATCAGTTCAAGTTCTTTCATCAGTTTCTGTAAGAACTCCTTTGGAAAAAAAATTTGTTGTAAATTCAGGTGATACTGATGAAAGGGATAAGTTACTGGAAAATAAAACTGAATTTCAGAAACTGATAGGTAAACTTATTTACCTTACAATTACCAGACCTGATATTTCTTATGCAGTTCAAGTTCTTAGTCAATATATGCACAAACCTAGAAAGTCCCATTTAAAACTTGCTTTTAGGTTGTTGAGATATTTGAAACATAGTCCAGGGAAAGGTGTAGCTTTGACTAAGTCAAATGTGTTTGGATTAAAAGGATATGTTGATGCAGATTGGGCTAAATGTTTGGTTACAAGAAGGTCTGTATCGGGTTATATGGTGTATTTTAATAATTGTTTGATTTCTTGGAAGAGTAAGAAACAATCTACAGTTTCTAGATCTTCTATTGAGTCAGAATATAGAGCCCTTGGTTCTGTTACTTGTGAAGTAATCTGGATTTTAAAATTTTTATTTGAACTTGAGGTTAAAAATCTTACTCCTGTTTCTATTTTTTGTGATAATAGTTCAACTATCAAATTAGCTCTTAATCCTGTTTTTCATGAAAGAACAAAACATTTTGAGATAGATTTACATTTTGTTCGGGAAAAAATTGCTAGTGGTACTTTGAAGTTAGTCAAAATTGATTCTTCTGAACAGAATGCTGATATTCTTACAAAATCCTTGAGTTCAAAACAGCATGATTTTTTAATTGGAAAAATGGGTCTTATTGATATTTTTAAAAGAAAATAAATATTTCGATTGAGGGGGGATGTTAAAAATATAGATACATACAATCTCATATTTATTATTTAAAATAAAGTCTTATGCGATTGAGGGGTTATTATGTAAAGATGGTATTCTTGTGGGTAGTAAAGTGAATGTGCAGGTTGATTGATACGCGGGTTATAGCTTGGGTCAAGTTCGGTTCGGGTTGTAAGTGTGGTTGATATCCAGGATATAGAAGAAGAGAGAGAGGGACTGTTCAAGATATTATCTCAGATCAGTTTAGGGTTTTCTCTCAGTTCTCTCGTTGATTCCTTTCTTCATTGTGTTCATCTTGAGCTGTATAGACTAGAACAATTTGTACAAGAGTCTGATTGAGTAGTTCTTGATCATTTAGTCTTGGTTGATATAGATTAGGTTGAGTGTATTGTAACGAGAGTAGATTAGGTGTTTTGTAGTGAGGTTTAATCTGTACGTTCTTGAAAACCACCTGTTTCTTTGTCCTTAAATGATATGAGAAATGGTGATGTTGGGAAAGTTTATCTTGTATGTTTTGACACAAAATATTGTAACAATAAAATTTGAAAAGCCTTATTTGAAGGTATCATAATTATATCAAGAGATAGAGGTAAAAATTTAGACTAATTCAAACACATTAATAAACAATGAGTCTTCTAAATATCATCATGCTCCATAATCTTCAAGTCACTAGATATAATTCTTAATCCGAATACATATCAATGTAGATTTAGGAAGCCTCGTAGCTCATACCAGGATTAGACATTATAAATAAAGTATATATATGAACATGGTTTATATACAACTGAAACAAAGCCATTTCTTTAAAAATTCATTAAAACCATAAAACTTCATTCATTTAGGAAAAGAATATTTACACGAAACAAAGTACATTATTACAAAACTCGATGAGAACATCGTAAGGTATAGATTGTTTAATAATATAATGCGTGATATGGAATATAATCCAAATCACCAAGTCGTATAATTTCACAATGTCATTGTCCCTCGTCTTTAAGGAACTTTCCAAGGTAAACCCGTATGAAAAAGATAGTTATAGTTAGAGGTATCCTGGTGTAACTAACACAAAACATATTACACACACGAAGACCTCAACGCCACATGTTATTACTTCATTAAACTAGTTTACGTGTGAACCATCGCATACAAATCTGTAAAACGCTTGCAACACACATAACATCATTCTAGAATACCAACACAATGTCAGTACTTCATTGGTGGATATCAATGCCTTCATAAAGTGTACAGATCATATAAGTCTCCATCCCATCCAAAAGGGATACAAATGATCATAATTTAACTTAAAGAATTTTGAAAACATTTTAACATACACAAAATTTCCCCAACTAAAATACATTTTTCTCAAAACATAGCATGCATGTATGCATCAACAAATGCATCTAGTATTGGAAACCGTGTATATGTATAATATTATTATAAATGGAAAACATACCATGGCAAAATGCCATAATATGGTTGTGTTAAAATGTAACGAACAAACCTCAAGTATTGTATAATTCATCAACAAATCATTCTAAGGAGAAATGATCAATATTCAACTACACGAGTTTCAATTTAATAGAATGTAAACTCTAATATACTTCATTAATCTCACTATAATTTTTTAGGTTTTACAAGATTCATTTATCTTCTAAATACGCTTATGGTGTTCATCGAGGAGTATTCGAAGCAACCTAATGAAAATCGAAGTTGAATTTTTAAAAGTTAGAAAAAATCATATGTCGCAATTCAGTAGGGTACATGACTATGTATATATGTATCACACAACGGGAAAATGACATGCATTCACCCTTAAGCCAAGCTTATTCCAATCCAATACTCAAACTCGATTTCAGTCGACTTAAGATGATTATAATTTATCTAAAACTTAGATTAAACATATAATAACATATTAATTAACGTCATTATTCAAATTATTTCATTGCATGCAAAGATCATCATCTTCTTCAATTTGAACTTCAAAACTGTATATAAACCCAAGCTGGTATTTTTGTTAACAAACTAATTCTCGTAAGCTTTTATTTTGACCCAAAACCTTAAATATTCTTATAGACAAAGTCTGAAACTAGTTACAAGGGTATATAAACCCTCAACTTCTATTCTTGAAAAGTCTAACTCTTAACCTAATTCTTCATTCCTACTAAACTTTAACTCCACTTATCAAATAATTATTTTAATTAGTTATTAGATAAAATGCAAAAATAGTCTCTATGGTTGTAAAAAAAATTAAAAAAAAAACTGTAGTTTTGATCCAAAAAAGTTTGGTAGTGTATCAGTGGTTCAAATTTAGATACGCTGTCGTTTAGATACTCTATGGTTGTAAAAAAAATTAAAAAAAAAACTGTAGTTTTGAAAACCACATGATCATTTTTTTCAATTTTGTCTAATTATTATTATTTAATTTAACTTTAGGTTTTAATTTACCCCTATGCAAATCTTGTGTTATACAAGCTAATATCAGTGAAGGTGACACATTGTGTAACACCCATAAAATTCATGAAAAATTTAAACTTTTTAAAACATTCAAAATAATCCACTACTAGAAAACAACCCTTTAATGACGCGCAAAAAATGACACGCACTGATAGAGGACGCGCATTTGTGCCTGCCCTAAAAAATAATGTTAGTTTTGCAAAGTTTGAAGGATAGAGGACACGTATTTGTGTGGGCCCAAAAATTAATGTCCAACAAAAAAAATTAAAAACACGGAAGGCACCTAAATTTAAGTAGGTGTCGTGTAGAGATGTTGTTTTATAAAATTTTAATTCGCGCGTCCCTCTTTCATGCAACTAACGGGGGAAACCAAATCCCCAAAAAATTCAAGTACCCCGCCTTCCCTAAAAATCGAACCGCACAATATCTTTCATGGAGTCGGCGATTGGGGGTCTGCGACTCCTCAAACTCGAAACGCTGGCGATTTTAAGTTTTTTCTTGTCCCCGATATCAAAGAAGAACTAGGGCTTTTATGCTCTGGACCTCACAAGTGCGCACCCTTTTTCACTCCACTCTTTCTCTCTCTACAAACAACCAAGAAGCAGCAGCAGCACACGAAAGATGGGCGAAGGAAAAGGCTCATCCCTAGTTCATCTTCTAGTTATCATCTTATTCTTAGTTGCTTTTGGTTTCGCCATTGCCGCCGAACGCCGCCGTAGCACTGTACTTTCTCTTTCTCTCATCTAAATTTGAACTGTTTATGTTGATTTCATCTGTAAGCTAGGATTTTCTGCTCGATTCCTCTGTTCACATTGATTTTCTTATGTTTAGCGACGATTATATCTGCTGACTTGCTAAATGAGTTCTTCATTTCAATTCCATTCTTCTGCTTCATGAGATCTAGGTTTTTGAACACTAAAGCTGTTATGAACCTTCACACAGTTTTTAGTGATTTTTTGCTTGTAATTGTTCTTAGAGTTCTTCCATTCTGTTTATGCAGTTCATTTTCAGATAATCGAAACTCATGATGATCGTGATTCGTGAACACTAGGTTATTGAATTTGTGCTTTATTGATGACAGGGAACCATTCGCACAGATAATGCAACCAATTCCACTTACTGCGTGTACGATTCAGATGTAGCAACATGCTATAGCGTTGGTGCCTTTCTGTTTCTTCTCTCAGGTGAATCCTTACTCATGGGAGTAACCAAATGCATGTGTTTTGGAAGGCCATTAGCACCTGGTGGAAATCGAGCTTGAACCATCATCTATTTCACATTCTCACTGTAAATCTCTCAACATATATACAAAAGAAACAAACTTTTTTGTCCCAATTCTTGAAACTTGAAACTAAAAAGTGTTATCTTTTTGCATAATTTGTAGGCTGAGTTTTGTGGTTGCAGAAGCTTGTTTGATAGCAGGGGCAAAGAGAGCAAGATAGGGCTAAAAGAGAGAGGCCTGAAACGTGAAAAGGAAAGTGAGAGAGACCTGAAACGTGAAAATGAAAGGGAATTGGAAAGATATGAAAGGGAAAGAGAGCAAGATAGGGCTAAAAGAGAGAGGGAAAGGGAATACAAAATACGTGAGGATGAACGCAGATACAGAGCACGTTTGAAAGAGTGGGAAAACAGGGAAAAAGAGAAAGAAAGGACACGCAAACAGGAGAGATAAAGGGAACAAGATAGGAAATATGAGATTTTGGATCAAGAAAACAATGATGGGTATAACAAAAAGAGGAAATATAAAAGTAGTGGAGAGGATAGAGAAGAAAGAAAAAGGAGGTTAAGGGAGAAGGAAGAAGACATGGATGATAGAATTAAAGAGGAGGAAGAGATTGTTGAGGCTAAAAGGAAATATTCATTTTTCTTTGGATTTTTTGCTTGTAATTGTTCTTAGAGTTCTTCCGAATATGATGAAATTCCTGTCCGTCATAATGAGGTATTACGCTCTGTATTTTTTTGCTGATGTGGCCCAACTTGTCGCTGAAGTGGACATATGATGTGGCAGGCTTATTGAAATAACTTCATTAAATAGTAATCAAGTTCCATTTTTGTGAAAATATTGAAACATTGAAGGGACAATGTCACAACTCAGTTACATTGGAACAAAACTGAAGCTTGATTATAATTTAATGAAATTGTTTCAGTAAATCTGTCACATCAACAAAAAAAAACATAATTTCCATACACTTGAACAAAAAAAATACAAAATTTCACAACCTTAAGGATATAGACAGTGACACGCAATATCTTTTTGGGTTCTAACCTGCTTGTTTCTATTGTAGGAGAACTATAACGAAGCATTATCTGCCAAAGTCCCATATACAGTCGACAAAAATCGCCTCGATGATCCACATGTTAAAGCAATTTTCAAAAACTGAAAAGAATTCTACTTCTTTCTTTTACTAAACTTTATTTATTTTTAAATCCAAAGGCGCATTTTTCTCAAGTGGAACTGCCTATCAGCGACTATTACACATAATTGAAGTCAGTGCTGGATCAAAGTATACGTATTATTCAAGCCATGATAGATATATGTGCAAATAGTGGATGGCTGGAAAGTTCCATTACTTGTATGCATCTTCTCCAGATGGTCATGCAGGTATTATTATGCCCAACCATTTTGTTTTTCATGTATGGTCATCTTTTTTAATTGACTTTTTTTATATGTATATCATGTGATTGATGTCAGGGTATGTGGTTTGAAAGGGATTCACTCCTATGGATGTTGCCATGCATGAGTGAAGACCTTTTCAGCTTATTGCAAAAAGGAGGAATTTTAAATATACAATAGTTAATGGATCTCCCGAAAATGAGTATGCAATCTAGATTTGGAAACAATGCTTCAAGACTACTACAGGTATTAAAAATAGAAAAAATAATTTAGAGCAAATTACAAGTTTAGTCCCTGTGGTATATCAAACGCTATTCTAGTTGGGTATTAGTTAATTATTTACTAATGTATCACCCCATCTGCAATTCAATTCGTATTTACTTGGACACTGTCAACAATTACAGCCCAATATTTCAAATCTGCCAAAAAAATGAGTCCCCTCTACTGCAGAAGTGAACTATGTGCTCAAGTCTGCTGACCCTTTCATCAACACATGCTTTGAAGAATTACATCATGCATGGGTTGATTCTTTGATAGATCTCTTAGATTATTGAACTACTTAGTAATTGTAGTGGGAGGCATGGGATCAACTTTATTCAGCCTCAGTCTTTTGTGTAGGATGTTGGTGATTTTATATCACTAATGTTATTTAAGTGTAATGGGGTTAATTTGTTGATCAATGTCACTTTGACAATTATTGAACAAATCGGTATGGTGTGGAGTGCACGTTTGTTTAATTTTGTCTTTGTTGAAAGTATACTGCTATTTAGGGGCGAAGCCCCTAAACCGACGAGGGTCCGGGCGCAGCGCCCCTGGGAGCGGGGTCCAAGGGGCGGCAGCCCGTGGCAGAGTCCAAGGGGCAGAGCCCTTGGCTGGGATCGATATTCTAGACCCGGATTTAAGGTTGTTTATGACCGTTTGTGGACAGTTTTAGGACATAAAACTGTCATGTGGCCGTTTTAAGACAGGAAGTTTTTTCTGTTATATGATCATATCCGAATCTATGTTGGTATACTTCTTCTTCATAACATCAAAACATTCTCTCTTCTGTTTTCTCTCAATTCTGAGTCTTATCCGATTAAAGATTGGGAGTACCACCCAAATACTTTAATCTGAAAGTGAAAACCACAATTCTCAGAATTTCCAAGGCTATCTTATCCCGAATTTTCTTACATAGGATATTATATGTCACACCCCAAACCAAGGATGGCGGAAATGTACGGGGGTAGAGGACTTCATGTATAGTATCATAACAACAATTGGAATAGTAATTCAAGCAAACACAACCAACATATATATAATTGAAAAAGTTACATCATTGTATGAATTACATGTTTACGAATCAATTACAATATGTTGACAAAATGTGAAATAGTAGACGCCTTAGCGTCCCATCCTCAAAAGCACTTGGTTACCTGTTTAATGATTTCCTGAGAATACAAGTTGTTTGAAAAAGTGTCAACACAAAGGTTGGTGAGTTCATAAGCTTTTGTTTGGTATTATTAAAATCCTTTCGTTTGTAAAAGTAGTATTTGTTTTAGAAAAATCCAATATTTTCCTTAAAATGTATATGTAGTCTTAAATCCAAAGACCGAAATGTATAAGTAACTTTTCTTACTTATAATAAATAATGTAAGTTTAAATCGACGTAAACTCATTTAATTTTAATGAAGTTCCCGTAAATTCCAATATTCATTAATACTTTATGTGAGTTTATTAAAGCCTTTTCTTGTAAAAGTAGTGTTCGTTCCAGAAAATCCAATATTTTCCTTAATGTGTAAATGTAGTCTTAAAACCCAAAGACCGAAATGTACAAGTAGTGTTCGTTCCTTATAGTAAAACAATGCAAGTTTAAATCGACATAAACTCGTTTGATTTTAGTGAAATCCCCGTAAATTCTATGTTTGTTAATACCACATGTGAGTTATTATAACCATGCTATGACCTAGTTGGCCTGAAACGACGTTCTTCAGGCGTCGGAAATGTTATGACATTTGTCACCCCAGACCTATCGGTCTAACTGTTGCATGCAGTTTAGGTGTGGGTTTGTCAAACCTAATATAGATCTATACACAACTATCACGCTCTCCCTCAAGGAGACTCTGGTTACAATACAGGACTTAATGGTAATTTGAAGTAAATGTCTCACAAAGTCATTAACGGAATTACGTGTTATGAAAACTTGGTACCGTATGGCCGTACCTTGCTTAATGAAAATATCCTTTGTATAAATGTACCCTTTTTAAATGTATGTGTTATGTAATGTTTCATAAAGTCATTAACGGAATTACGTGTTATGAAAACTTGGTACCGTATGGCCGTACCTTGCTTAATGAAAATATCTTTTCTATAAATGTACCCTTTTTAAATGTATGTGTTATGTAATGTATCATAAACTATACCTATTATAGTTTATCAACCAAGGGTAGTACGTTGTAATGTATGCAAACTATATTCAAAATAGTTTATTAAATGTTTGAATGTATCGGTTGTACTTTGATTATAATCACTTGTTATTCTTTATATTTTATATGTCCAAATCCATTTGTAAACTGATGTGTGTCTAAATATTAAGATAAAATATCATATATTGCAATAACATATAATCAGAAAAAGATATACACCTTGCTCAACATGTTACAAGGTGAAATGAAATTGACAGCAGCTTTTTGTTGAATACAGTTTCTGTTACTGTTCTTAGAAAATTTATAGAAAAATCATCAAAGCTCCAAATCCAAATCCGCAAATTCTGAGAGTTTGGAATATGAGTCTAGTTTGTTCGTAAATTTTATCATGATTTTTAGTGATTTCTAACAGAGGTGAAAATGTTCATAATCACAGACTGGTCCGGGTTTGCCTCTGAAATGATAGGCAGTTTTGTAAAAATCACCATAAATTGTAGAAAAATCATATGGAGATGTGCAAGTAGCCATTTTAAAGCTAAGAGTTTGAACTACTTGCACCTGGAACAGTTTTGAAAACTAAAATATTTAAGTTGACCAAAACAGTCCGTGATCGAAGTCCATCTTTTCTGATGTAATCTGTTAGAAAAAGTTTAATTGTGTTCTTGATGATTTTACTTGTATTCCCCCCTTAAAACTTAAGAAGAACATGTAAATGTAGGGGTATGAACTCACCCTATGTGGTTTCAGTAGATGAAAGTAAGAGAGAGGAAGTGTTCAACCCAAGAACACTAAGAAGATGTCTTGATGATTCGAGAATCTAACACCGAATAAGATGGAATTTGTGTAAGATATCAATGATTTGAGTAGAATGGAGTGTAATAATTATATGAATGATGAAGATACTTACTAATTGAAGAAAGAAATCCCTGGAGAAAGCCTTGAAGTTCTTGAAGTTGAGAGAAAAGATGAGAGAATTTTGGAGAGTGTTCTTTGGTTGCTAAGTGTAGAATGAAAGAAGTTAATGAGAATGAGGAGAGATGACCAATTCTCCAGCTCTTAGAACGTGGGAAGAGCTGGAGATTGGGTGTAAAGGTCCACTAAGGTGACAAGGGGTAGTGGGAAAGAGTGGCTAATCATAGAGTGAGGTGGTGGTGGTTTGCTTTTGCCATAAATTAAGGAAAAGCAAATATTCCCTCAATAATTAGTTCAACCACTAATTCTTTTAATATATTTTTATAAAAACCCTGGAGATTTATATATTTTGGGGCCTTAGTTTATAAAATAAAGTCTTGGGTGAAAATCCCACGTTAAAATAATGAAAAACGGAGTTAAAACGAAGTCGTAGTCGAAAAACCGGTAAAAAGGGGCCGTCTGCGAGACCTCTCGCATGGGCTGTCTGAGAGGCTTCTCATGCGAGGCTTCTGTCCTGAGAGGCTTCTAATGAGAGGCTTCGGTTCTGAGAGGCTTCTCATGAGAGGCTTCGGTCCTGAGAGGCTTCTCATGAGAGTTTTCGCTTCTAATAGGAGGGTTTTGGTTCCTTAAGGTTATTTTATCCGTTTTTACCCCGTTTCAAGTGGTTTTTGACCCGGTTAAGGGTCGAGATGACCCAAATGATTACAAAAAGTTAAAGTAACTTTTGAGAGAGATTCGGGA